CAACCCAACACATTCTGTGGTTCTTTGACCTTCAAGGACCCATTCAACCCATGCGAGGATTCTGTAGTTTGCTGACCTTTAAGGTCCTTTTCAACTCAACCCATTTTTGGTTCTGTGACATTTAAGGGTCCTACGAACAGAAATCATTCTGTGAATCCACACTTTGGTGATCTTGAAGGTCGCATCCAGCCCAAACCGTTCCGTGCTTCTGTGATCTTCAAGGTCTTTTCCAACCCAAGCTGTGCTGTGACTCCGTGGCTCTGTGATCTTTAAGGACCCGGCCAACCTTCCCCATTCCGTGCATCTGTGATCTTTTAGGACCCTTCCAACCCAGACCCTTGGTTCTGTCATTCAGCTCACAGCTGCAGGCCACCTCGTGGTCTAAAAGGAGGCTCAGCTGTAAGTGCTCTCCAACCCGTAGTAGAGAAAGGCTGAAAGGTACAGAGGAGCCGTTCTGTTGGGGATGGGTGGGATGGGAAGAGGGAGGAAAGCATCAGAGGGGTAATTAACGCGGAAGAGAAGGAGGTGCTGGGCCAAAGTGTCTTGATGTGTGTGTGTGTGTCTGCCTCTCAGCTGAAAGCAGTGCATGAACAGCTTGCAGCCCTGTCCCAGCCCCAGCAGAACAAACCAAAGAAAAAAGAGAAGGACAAGAAGGAGAAGAAGAAGGAGAAGCACAAAAAGAAGGAAGAGCTGGAAGACAGCAAGAAGAGTAAAGCCAAGGAACCGCCGTCCAAGAAGGCCAAGAAAAGTAACAGCAACAGCAGCACCTCCAGGTCAGCCCTGTTTGCGCTGCAGTCGTCGTGTTTTGCTGCGCTGTGCCGTTTGTGCTTCTCCCTCTGATAACTTTGCATGGGGGTCTTGCAGAGCAGCACCCGCAGCTTCAGCAGGGCTCACAGCCACCCCTCACCCGGGGCTGCTTTAATTAAGGATGGGAGAGAAGAGCTCTGGGAGTCGGGCCGTTGAACTCTGATCCCCTCCGTTCTCTCCCTCCTGCTTCAGTTGGAGCTGTGGGTTCTGAAGCGAGGGGTCAGGAGCTGAGAGGAGCTCCTGCTTGGGCTGCAGGGTAAACACCTGCAAGCACGGCTGCGGATCTGCCTCCTTGTTTCTCTCCGGCCCAGCAGACATCACAGAGCATCCTCTGCCCCTGCTGCTGCTGCTTGGCAGCGCGTTTCCCTGTAAGCATCGGGTTTTGCTCTGCCTAAGGGGAGGCCGTGCTGCCCCGAGGCCTCAAAGCAGCGCAACCCCAAAGCAGAGGGGCGCTTCCAGGGAGGTGGGCAGCGTTGCTCTGCTCTGGGCTTTCATCCATCCCAGTGCAGACGTACAGAGCTCTACCTGCAGCCGCTCGTTTCTGAGAGCTCGTGGCAGCCCGCACCCGGGCGCAGCTGTGAGATAAGAGGACGAAAGCAGCTGCTGGTGCGTGCAGAGCTGCCTGCTGCTGTTCCTTGCGATAGCAGTAGTGCAGCCGCGCTGCTGTAACGCAGCAGAACCGAGCTGCCGCTTCTTGCAGCGTCTCCTCGTTTTGTTGTGTGCCATAATGACGTGTTACAATTGTTCCTAAGTAGTAAGAAGGAGCCGGTGACGGTGAAGAACAGCAAGCCCCCTCCAGCCTACGAGTCTGAGGAGGAGGAGAAGTGTAAGCCGATGTCCTATGAGGAGAAGAGGCAGCTGAGCCTGGACATTAACAAACTGCCCGGTGAAAAGCTGGGCCGAGTTGTTCACATCATCCAGTCGAGAGAACCCTCGCTTAAAAACTCCAATCCCGACGAGATTGAAATTGACTTTGAGACGTTAAAACCTTCCACGTTACGGGAGCTGGAGAGATACGTAACGTCGTGTTTGAGGAAGAAGAGGAAACCTCAAGGTACCTTTCATCCTCACAGCAGTTCCCCTCGCATCCCAGTGCTGCGGTGCCACCTTTAGGGCCTTTCCTGTGTGATGGGGTGAGGAGAGCAGCTGCCGCTCCTCCAGCAAAACGAATGAAGCCCCAGCGGCCGTCCTGTAGATCCGGTGGCTCTGACTCAAAGCCTTCGGTCCTCAGCCTCCCTCTAACGTAAATATTTTCTCCCAAAAGATGTCTGTGTGAAGAGGAGAGGTTAAGAGCCGCGTTTCGCTCGGCGTCCTGCAGAGCCGCCGCTGCTCCTCCTCCTCCCTGCCGAGCCGCGGGGCTGGAGGAGCTCTGTTGCAGCCACGGTGTGCTGGAGCACATCTTGATCCTCCCTGAAACCCTGTGGGATTCGGAGGGGTTCTTCCTCCCTGTGGCCGGCATGGTGTAAACCCGAGCAGAAAGGAAAGCTGCCCAGATTTGAGGCTTGTTTAAAGCACTGAGGTCGTTCGGCTGCAGCTCAGCGCATCCGCAGGGGTACAGCAGGGCCCTGAGCGCCTCCCGGCCTTTAATTGGAGTTTTAATTGGAGTTTAAGCTCTTAAAAAGGCACCCGTGTCCTTCTTCCCTGGGCCAGGAAGCCAGAGCAGCAGCAGTATTACATTTTCAGCATTGAGAGCCCCCAGCTGGGCTCGGGGTGGCAGAGAGGAGCACGGTTTGGAGGCTCTGGGTCCCTTCCCGTCCCTTTGACCATTCATTTTGTGCTGTTGTCTTCTTGCAGCAGAGAAGGTGGATGTAATTGCTGGTTCCTCTAAAATGAAGGGGTTCTCCTCCTCAGAGTCTGAGAGCACCAGCGAGTCCAGCTCCTCCGACAGTGAAGATTCAGAAACAGGTTAGATGCAGCTTATTTAAAGACTCAGTCCTATACCTGTTTTCTGTATAAATAAATATGTTTTCATTACCGGCTTGGTCTTTAATTTGTTGTCTTTGTAATTAAAACCAATATTATACACAGCGTAGGAGCTGCATGCTGCCCTCCGTGTCCAGCTTGGCAGTAGCAGTGTTGTCTCTGGCACTTCTCAAGCACTGCAAGGTATTGTCAGGAGCGTTGACTTTGCTGAGGTTGGCTGTGGGTGCAGGAGCTGAGCTGCAGTGCGTGCCAGGGCGGCTGTTTGTCCGTCTGAGGACGTAGCTGTGTGTTCTTAGGGAGCTGCTGCGTTGTCCTGGCTGGAGGCTCGATCTGTTCTTGCCAGCAGGAGGAACCTCGTGTTTGTGTAGCAGAGCCCTGTCTAAAAAGCAGAGGGGTGCTTCCAGGGCAGCGCTGCTTTGCTCTCCTCCCTTCTGCCCTCCTGGGCTGGGCTCGGGCTGCTCACCTCCTTCTGGAGCGCTGTGCTTTCTCTGTAGCACTGCTTGCTGCCGTTCCCTCCTGGGTTTTGCATCGCCAAAGCTCCGTGCGGTCGACTGAAGCTGTTTTCTGTGGCAGCTAACTCAGCTTGGAGGTGGTGTCGGGCTCTTCCCAGCACAGAAATAGAAGGAACACGGTCGGTGTGCAGGGCAGGAGACGAACCTGGAGCTGCTTGCATGTGCTTGGGTCTGCGTAGGTCAACTTGGATCTGTTTGGGTCTGCTTAGGTCTGCTTGGATCGATGTAGGTCTCCTTAGGTCTCCTTAGGGTCTCCTTGGATCTATTTGGGTCTGCTTAGGTCTGCTTAGGTCTCCTTGGATCAATGTAGGTCTCCTTAGGGTCTGCTTGGATCTATTTGGGTCTGCTTAGGTCTGCTTGGATCGATGTAGGTCTCCTTAGGTCTCCTTAGGGTCTGCTTGGATCTATTTGGGTCTACGTAGATCTCCTTGTCCTGCTTAAATCTACTTGGATCTGTTTGGGTCTGCTTAGGTCTCCTTGGATCTGCAGAGGTCTCCTCGTCCTGCTTAGATCTGCTTGGATCTATTTGGGTCTACGTAGATCTCCTTGGGTCGATGTAGGTCTCCTTGGGTCTGCTTAGGTCAACTTGGATCTATTTGGATCTACGTAGGTCTCCTTGGGTCTGCTTAGGTTGGCTTCCTTGGATCTACATAGGTCTCTTTGTCCTGCTTAGATCTGCTTGGATCTGTTTGGGTCTGCTTAGGTCCACTTGGATCTTTTTGGATCTACGTAGATCTCCTTGGATCCATGTAGGTCTCCTTGGGCCCGCATAGGTCTGCTTGGATCTGTGTTGGTCT